TATTAACCATTGTGATACGAAGGAAGGGCTTTGGTAAAGCCAAGAAGATGCACGAAATAAACGTGAACGGTACCTAGAATACCCTTAGGTGAGAGCCTTTTGTTGTGGCTGGTGGGAGCTTTAGCTTTTTTAGTACTGTTATGAGTGATAAGTTTAAATTTTTATTGGAGGGAAAATAAAATTTTAGTTTTTAGAAAGGTGAAAAAGTGAGTGAAAAGTAAGTAAAAAGAAAGTTTATGAAAAGTTTGGATTTGAAACTTTTGAACTTTTACTGTTTAAGAGCTTTTTGAGGTTAAAAAAAAATTTAAAAATTTAAATTTTTAGGAAAAAAATTTAAATTCATGAAACATGAATAATGTCCAAAAACTGAATCTACTACAACCTGCAACAAACAGGCCCTAGATCTTTGACTTACGGAACGGCTTCCAAAAGCGCTTCGTCGTGAAGATAATTTTTTTATATAATTTTTATATATTATAAAATAAATAAATATATTTAATATTATACAAAAATCATCTCCTTAACAAAAACCTAAGAAATCACGACATATCTTCTGATGCAAATTGACAGATCGCCGTATCTTGTTTACGTGTGAACAGATGAAGCCGTCCACGTCTTCACTTCATCTTCCACAACAATCCAAACCACTTTGTTTCCCACTTGCAGTTACAGATATCTATGGATCTGTTCTCCCGTAAATTTCTTTGTTTATGAATATCCTTCCTTCTTAATGCTCTGTTCAACTACGAATCGTCTTTTTCGCCCAAATCTAAGCACGGTTGCTGCATCTTATTATCTCCTTTTAGGAAACCGATTATCACCAATCTCTAAGAATACCCTTTTGATTTCTCCCCGGATTTCCCTTATTTCTTTGCTTTCTTCGTCTCCCGAATCAGGGTTTTTCAGGCCTTCGTTACTCGCTGTGAGATCGGAACATACTATGGCTGCCCAATCCAGCAAGGGATCAATCTATGACTTCACTGTTAAGGTTTGTTTCTTACAAATCCTGTCTGTAGTTTGAACTTTGCCCTAATAACTCGGATTTATCAGTTTAATTTCTTCAATTTAGCATCTTTTCTATGGTTTTAATCACATGGTATAATTTGTATCATGTTAATTGCAGGATGCTAAAGGGAATGATGTGGAACTCAGCAAATACAAGGGAAAGGTTCTCCTCATCGTCAATGTTGCATCACAATGGTACACTTTTTTTGTTTCTTACGGTTTTGGGATTGTGGTTTTTCTTTTAATCCAAAAGAAAATATTATAGCTTCTGATTTTCTTTCATTTGTTAGTCTTTTATATATATATATATATATATATTGTGAATGTGATACAAATTACTTTTCGATTTGATTTTTTAATTCATTGCTTGATTATTAATGCAGTGGCCTGACTAGTTCGAATTATACTGAGTTGACTAAATTGTATGAGAATCACAAAGACAAAGGTTTGTTCTAGTATCTTGTCTATATCTTGTAATTGTTCAAGATATGTAAAATCAGATTTTGTTTTCCTTGATATTGAAATGCTCCTATATTTCATGATTTTTCTTGACTGATTTTTGTTTTTCATTTCATACATGGTACATACTCAAGAACCCTGTTTTGTCTTGGGGCAGGATTGGAGATTCTTGCATTTCCATGCAATCAGTTTGGAGGTCAGGAGCCAGGGAATAATGAACAGATCTTGGAGTTTGCTTGCACTCGCTTCAAGGCTGAGTTTCCCATATTTGATAAGGTAAGAAATTGTCTCATGGTTCGGCAAATGACAGAAAGCACTGAATATAGTTGTCTTTTATATTTTGCTCGGGAATCCTTTTGCAACACAAGTGGATTTTTAAAATTCTCACCTGTTAAAACATCTAATAAATTGTTAATGTTCAATGAATCAAACAAAGCAGTAGCTGGTGGTGAACCTATATGATGTTAAGCACACAAGTATATCAGAGGGAACATCTCAAATTTGAACCAGTTTTACCTAGTTCCCTAGCAATTTGCCATTTCCTCAAGTTTTAAGAGCCACATTTCTTGGTATGGCAATAATTAGGGAGAACGAGAAGAATGGAGAATGAGACATTTCCATCTTGTGAAATGTTTCAACATAGAATGCCGTCCCAAAATAGAGATCTGGATATGTCGAGAGGTGTAGTTGGTCTTGGTGGGTATTGGAGGAAATTGAAGTGAAAATGTACTGGTAGGCAAACTGAAGGCTAAATTTAGAGGGCACGGAAAAATATCAGGTTTTGAAGCCTCTAAGGTGGTCCTGTTGGATGTGTAAACTTAGACAAATGCTCCAACAAAATTGAAGTCTTCAGCAAGTAGCAACACTTTTAACTAACAAAAATGGAGACCAATGTTTTATTTTTGCAGTTATCAGCATGGTATTCATTCTTGTTGTTTTAACATAGGTTGATGTGAATGGTGAGAATACTGCTCCAATCTACAAATTCTTAAAATCAAGCAAAGGTGGACTTCTTGGGGATGACCTCAAGTGGAATTTCTCTAAATTCCTGGTTGATAAGGAAGGCAATATTGTTGATCGTTATGCTCCCACAACTTCTCCCCTGAGCATTGAGGTAAATGACTAAATTCTATTTTAGTGTCGTTTTATCTGGTTGAATGATCGTCCCCTAATTCATGCCATGTCATTTTGCAGAAGGATGTAAAGAAACTGTTGGGGATTGCTTGAGTCATCAGCTCACTGCAAAAGCACTAGATCACTATGAATAAGCCAGTGTTTATGAAGACAGCGTGTTCTTATCTCTGGAAAAGGAGACTACAAGAGTTTAGAAGTTTTAATTGAAAATAATAATGTAACTAAAAATTCGAATTATGCTCATATTATTTTCTTCAATAATAACTATGCTTATGTAGTTATTCTCATGTTATTATCCTTGTTACTCTTGTTATAAATTCAAATTATGCTCATTTTTCTTTTATTTATAAGTCAAACAACCTTATTCAATTGATTCGAGAAAACTTCCTAACTGGGGTCTAAAAATTAAATAGAGGATAAATTTTTTATTTGTACTATATATATTATTTTTTTAATCAATATTTTCGATTAATACTCTTTTATAATTTGAAACTTATAAAAAATTTTGAATTACTAAGAAAATTAAAGTATAAATAAAGAGTTTAATTATTAATGTTTGTGTTTTTTTTTAATAAATTTTAAATTATAGAGATGATTGATAGAAAGTAAAAAAAAATTTTAAATGTTGATCATAAAAAAAAAAATTGTATATAATGTAAATAACGGTTTGCCCTAAAAAAACTCACCTC